TCCTCTGCTATTCATGTTGTTTGCTTGCCTTCCATTACCGCAGGTTATTCAAGCAGTTTGGTGAGATGAACTCTTGCGTTCTGAATATTGTTCTGTTTTCCTGATTGTCACCAGTTTCTGCCCTGTGGATCCCGAGTTATGCTTTGCCCCTGTCTGCTCTGTTAGTCGGATCTGTTCTGGGCTGATTCCTGGATTCTAATGGCTTTTGAACTTGGACCTGTCTTCCGACTCCATCTTTGGATTTCCCTTTAAGGACACCGCTGCTGCTCGGCTACGACTGGCATTGCTCTGCTCTCTCTCTCTGGGATCTCTTGGGCGACGACGCCCGCCGCAAGCTGGGGTGTAGCCTCCTGTTTGGATTCCAGTCTTTCCTCCAGGAACGGAATTAACTTTGAATTGATCAGCCCGACAATCCAGTCACTGACCTGTATTTCCTATCCCTACAGAGATTCACCCCGCAGCTGATGAGCAGCCTCACATTCCTGTTTCTGGGTCCAACATTCTGACTTCATTACAAGTTTAATGGCAAAAAGGTACGTTTCGCTTAGCTACAGTTTAAGTAGCTAGACCAAACTGATACAGCTGCGTTCACACTAAATGCGAAACCTGCAAAAGTCACCAATTTCGTTTGCATGACATTTTATCAGAATTTGGTGGTAGTAATTCCTTCGGCAGAAAGGCTGGGCTAAATCCAGTTGGCTGGTTGTCGATTTCACCTAAATATGGTGGACAAGGATTTTACAGAGGGAGTCTCAGTACTGTATTGACTTTGGGAAACCGAAAAAAGCTGCCAGTGTCTTGTTCCAGCAGAATCTACAGAGATGCTCCCAGTTTAGGCAGTCCAGGCATGAGGCCTGGAGCAAGGTCACTTTCCATGGAGTTTAAGGTAAGGTGAGATTGTGTTCTGTAGCACAGACAGGAGAAGCAGTGAACACACAAGAACCAAGACAGAGGGATCTCCAGAAGTGGGAAAAGGCATCAGGCTGTGCCCCCGTCTGGAGATGAGGAAAGACAGCAGGAGATTGAAAGAGGACATCGGAGGGGTATCCCAGGTAGAGAGCGCCAATGCATGGAGCGCTTGTGGAAGGTGGCTGATATTTGCACTAATGCCAAGGGAGGATGACAAACAGTCTTTCTTGGCTCACTTACAAACCTGATAAGAGCATTCCCTACTTAATCCTTGGCCACATCTAGTCCCTAGTCGTTTCTTTTGCTATGCAAATATATAAAAAAGTTACAAATATTTCATTTCTGCAAATTTGCCTTGCGTACATTGCAGATAAGGCGACACTCTAACTTAGATGTCTTTGCCAAAAACATGCATTTCACCTGGCTAGAATTACGACCTTCACTGAACTTTGCCTCGCAGCACACCTGAGCCACCCAGCAGAGATAACATCTAAATTCTTCACTCTGGCCATTAAATATGCGTAATCTTGAAAATTACAGTACTAAGACCTCCAGAAGAGCACACCTGATACAACCAACCAGGTGCTTTAATAAGTGTGTCACGTGTGTTTGAGACAGATGCCTCCAAAACCGTTTGAGAATTATTCGTTGCCATGAACAGCAGTTCAATTTTAAAAGACGATTTAGTAAGTTTGAAGCTAAAGGGAAATAAAAGCCTTTAAAGGCTCTATTTCTGGCAGCCAAAAAAGGAAGCCACTCGCAAATTCCTGAGAAGTAGATTGACTGCAGAAGACTTGAAGTTTTTGCCAGGCTTGGTTTACTTATATAGCTATGAGCTAATGAGAACCAAACTTTCTTTTGCTTTGGATAGGTTGTAGTGCAGATCTTTAGCATTCCTCTCCAGAGCAAGTAGATTCATAACCCCACCTCCTGCTCTATTCTATCTTGTCTGCTGTCATGATTCATGCAGCTATTATTTCATACAAATGAAAAATGGACAACAGATAAGCAGAACATGGCTTGTCTACAGTGGAAAGAAGGACTGTGTTATTTACTTTTGTCGAGCAATCAGCTTAGTGAGTTCAGTGCTTGGAAAAACATGTTCATTCCTTTTGAGACAGCTTGAAAAGTCAGCGAGTACAAAACATAGAGGATAACAACAACAAGAAGAGAGGAACAAAACATAGAACAAATAATCTATGTCTATTCTATTATAATTTCTGTATCTGTATTTTGGGTGTGTTTTATCTGTCATCTTCTCTATTCAGAGGGCCCCTTGCCTGTCTTTGCCTAGGGCCCCAAATTCCCTAAAGCCGCCCCTGACTGAGAGTTTACCTTATTGTGAAATTAAGGCCAGAGGGTTAAAGTTACTCAGTAAGGCTTTGGGATTTCCTTCCACAGGGTCGGTCTTTTCCCAACTTTAACTTCCTGGCTGATGTCTTTAGATGCTGCTTTGTTAAGTGCACCGGTCCCTCCTGCAGCAAAACACACACCATGATGCTGCCACCACCATACTTTCTCAGGAGTTTTGAGCAACCCTTACTACGATGTTACAAGGATTCACTTTAAATTCTTTAGAGCCTCAAACATGGATCCCTGTTTGCATTTTCAATCTGTGACCTGACTTTTGAAATTTGCCACTGATCTTGACCCCATTCCCCAGATTAATTTGGAATTGCAATATAAGCATGAATAGTTGGGTTAGGGTTTAACCCTTTGAAGTTGATGTAAAATGTTTTTGTTTTTTTATGTATGATTAAAACAACTCGTATTGATTTGAATCAATAATTATGCAATTATAATGTAAAATGCAAAATCAAATTCTAACTTATTAATTTATTTAACTTTATTTCAGTTAATATTTTTAAATTCATACGATCATTTCACTTTATATTTATGAATAAATATATAATTAAGCGGATATATGTATTTTTAGGTGGTCTCCATTTATTAGGAACCCCTGCTATAAACAAGCATCTCCCCAGTTAGTGAGATGGCCTCAACATATTTTTTTATCAAAGTTAATACGCCTTTTAATGTGTGTCCCCTAAAGAAGCAGATTGGTGTGAAAATAAAAATAGATCGAAAATAAATGCAGGGTCAAATATGTGGAAATATGTGTAAAAAAAAAAAAAAAAAACCAAACAAACATATTTTTCGTTCTTGCCCATGAGCTTCAGAAAATCCTAAGTGGGATCTATTTTCTTACAATCTTTTCTGACATAAAATTGTATATTTGGCCAAGCAGCATGCCTAAGTAATAGAAAAACAGTTTGTTGTAGTTTCCAGTTTCAGTCTCTCCCTGAGATGACAGCAAATGTAAATGTTTGACGAACACTGCAACAGGTAAACCTCCCATCTCTTCTCTGCACCTCCCACAACCTGAAACAGCCATAGCTTCATGAACTCATTTGCTTCTCTTTGCATTTAGTGGGATTTGCTCAGTGAATATGATGCACAAGCACGTGGATTAAGGACTCTTCTTCGGATCAAAAAATATGAGCTTGTTTATTGAAGGTTGATTAGAATATAATAGAACAGAATAGAATAAAACAATCTCACAATGGAGGAATTCACTCTTATAAACAGAAGGTGCACAAAGGAGGAAAAGTAGAATCAAGTATATAAATAAATAATATAGATTAATTAAATAATCAATTTCCTGGAAATGTTTATATAATCAACCAATAGTTTTAGTTATACATGTATTCTGATATAGTAGAACAAAAAGGAGCTAGTTAGATTGCTTATGTTTGGGAAAGCTGGATTTAAACATTCTTAATGAAAATTTGATCTCAAAAAGTTTGTTTTCAGGTAATGTGGACTGGAATAATAAAATGAAGGAAATCATAAAATGTAAAACGAAGAAAAGAGAAAAAAACAGTCCACCTGCACCGATTAGTATGAAAGAGGATAGGACCACTGAAAAAAAAAAGTTAACTGCTTTTTAAATATTATTTCAGTTTAATTCTGACTTTAATCTCAGAATTTTGACTTTAATCTCAGAATTCTGACTTTTTTTCCTCTGAATTCTGACTTCTTTTTCCTCAGAATTCTGACTTTTTTCTAAGAATCCTGACCTCAATCCTAGAATTCTGACTTTTCTTCTCAGAATTCTGAAATTAGTTTTTATCAGAATTCTGACTTCAATCCCAGAATTCTGACTTTTCTTCTCAGAATTCTGAAATTAGTTTTTATCAGAATTCTGACTTCAATCCCAGAATTCTGACTTTTCTTCTCAGAATTCTGAAATTAGTTTTTATCAGAATTCTGACTTCAATCCCAGAATTCTGACTTTTCTTCTCAGAATTCTGAAATTAGTTTTTTATCAGAATTCTGACTTTAATCTCAGAATTCTGACGTTTCTTCTCAGAATTCTGACTTTTTTTCCTCAGAATTCTGAATTTTTTCTTCTCACAATTCTGACTTTTTTTCTAAGAATTCTGACTTCTATCCCAGAATTCTGACTTTTCTTCTCAGAATTCTGAAATTTGTATTTATCAGAATTCTGACTTTTTTTTCTCAGAATTCTGGCTTTGTTCTCAGAATTCTGACTTCAATCTGGGAATTCTGACAGAATTCTGACAGCTAACAAACATGTTGGCATCAAGCTGTAGCCATGTCTGTTTTAGAGACTAAACTAGCTCTCTTGTTTTAGTCACTCTCCGCTCATCCATTAATGAAATAGCATCACCGGGTCATTTTTCACCAATGTGTCTCTGTTCCTCCCAAACAACTCACATTTTTATCAGTGGAGCTGAGTGCCCCAACATCTCTTCCTTTATGGTGTCCATCTACATTAAGATCCAAAATTCTAAGATTAAAGTCAGAATTCTGAGAAAAAAGTCAGAATACTGTGATTACAGTCAGAATTCTAACTTTTTTTTCATATTATACTGAAATAAAATGTAAAAATCAGTTAACTTTTTTTTTTCAGTGGCCCTAACCCTCTTAATAATATTTAATCATATTTTAGATTACGCATATTTTTAGGATTTTTTCGAACACTCTAAAACAGCCTGAAGCGCACAGTTCTTTCCATGCCACTGCCTCTGAAATGTTTCCCACCAGCATCTTCCAGCAGTGGGGTTGGTTGGTGAGGATCGATGCTGGAAGGGAGCGAGGCGCGAGCACGGAGCGGGAGCGCGCGCATAGGAAGGGAAACGGGAGCAAAGCAGGAGCGGATCAGTCGCCAGCGGAGCCCAGGACGGCGGATGAACGGAGAAAAACGTGCGTGGTTTTCCCACAGCGGCTTTCCATCGAGCAGCGCCCTGCAGCCCGAGACCTGTCCGAAAATGATGCTCAAAGCGGCCCTCCTCCTCGGGGTGCTCGTCAACATCAGTCAAGGTGAGCGCGAGTGGGTGAAAGCCTCTGGTGCCTGGTGACTTTGTGGACAAGTTCTGTGCCATCTTGATCGGCTGCGTCAGGCTGGGAGAAGTGGATGGGAGAGAGGGCTGGATTGTTAAAGTGGATGATGTTTGGTAGTTGAAGCACGTCTTGCAGGGGGCCAGGATGCTGAAAAGGGGGATTATGATGGGGTCCTTAAGAGTAGGGTGGCATCAAGCCTTATAAGACTCCAACTCTCTTACATCTTTGCATCGTTTCCTATTTTATTTCTTCAATATTCAACAAACCCACCGCTTTAATCCTTAAATATCCTTAAATATTATTCAACTTCTTCTTGTTTAGACCACCGCCTTTTTTCCTCACTCTGCAGTGTACTGTAGATTAAAGATAACGCTGGAAACACCTCTCCTCTCCTCCTGTGTTCGCATTCAGCGCGCAAATCACGCGCACATTGGCGCTGCGGGCTTCACGCGCGGAGATGCGCCTCAAAGTTCGGGGATATTTAGGAAAGAGGGACGCTCGGCTGCTAATTGGCGTCTGTGCGCACCTGTCCGTGGTTGATTGCCGTCAACGCGCGCGCACGTGCCCTCTTATAATATAGCTGTGATTGAAGCCGCGCGTACAGCTGCGTCTTTTCCGCGCGTCTCTAATTATGTGGCGGTCAGTGAAGCCTGAATGGGGGGCTTTATGTTCACACTGAGCTGCTGGTGAAAATATTGGTTTCTTTAATAAGTTGAGACGCTTTTTCTCCTGCTGAGGTTCGAATAAAACGGGGCAGAATTTTACTCATGATTTAGGAGAGTTGGAGGTTTTTGTTGCGGGGTTGCTCTAGTTTCCAGAGCGCGACGGCAGGTGGGGGTAGAGCGCTGCTCCGTGGTGCCAAGGCTGAAGCATTTCAAGCTTGTTGCATGCTTATTTCGCTTTGAGGCTCCAACGGGCTCTATGCACAGCTCCACTACTTCCTGAATTTAATGCAGCTCCTTTGTTTCCTGTCTTTCATTACTGAACGAACTGATTAATCCAGGTGTGTCTGGCCAGTTACTTAGGTCATACACACCTGGATTAATCAGTGCATCCAATCATGAAAGACAGGAAACAAAGGAGCTGCATTAAATTCAGGAAGTAGTGGAGCTGTGCATAGAGCCAACTGGGGTGGGAAAAACCAATACTTTTACTTGCATTTCCGTTTAATGATGCACATCAGTTTAACATGTTGGGTTGAAGGTGTGTGGGATCAGCAGAAGAAAACAGTTCCTTCCTATCAGGGATTGTTTGCAAAAGTTTTAATGCCACTAACCCTAACATGTTTAGTGGTCCTTGTTTTAAACCGAGCAGATGATTGTAAAGCAGGTATGTCCAAAGTTGGACCAATGTCCTGCAAGTCTTTGAGGTTTCCACTGATAGCTGATGAAAGGTTTGGTCAGGCTTTATGCACGGACAATCCATGTGGAAAATGAGCTGCCCATCACAACGTCTGCAACATTTATACTCTCCTTTATTCCTTTTAGCTCTATGGGGTAGGGGTGTGTTCAACACAAAGCACAAGCTGGCAACGTCATCCATTTTTCAGCAGCCGTTTACAACTTTTTCAATCTGTTGATAATGGTGATATTAAGGGTTGAATTGCAGGAGGTCTCTTGATGTGTACATTAACAAACCCCCACTGGTAGGAGCTGTCGCTCATTTGCCATGTTTTTACATGTGGAATTTCTCTCCGGATGGGCAACAACAATGATGTAATTTTGCCGCATGGACCTTACAGACTCTTCAAGCATGAATTCACCTGAATCAGCTGTGCTGTATTAGAGAAACATTGAAAATCTGCAGAAGTGGCCCCTTAAAGACTAACATTGGACATGGCTGTTTTAAAAGCCTGACTCTACCATCTCTGCTCATTCACTTATAATTAAGCCTTATTCTCTTTGCAGCAAAATCCTAAATCAGTTGGAATTGATGGGAAATACCTCTGAACTTCTATTCGTGTCTTGCTACACATGGCAAATGGGATTTAAGTCTTGTCTTTGACTAGGCCATTCTGTCAACCTAATTGGATTTATTGTATATCATCCTGCTGTTGCTGGATGATTACTGTCCGGTCGGAGACTGAATCTCCATCCTTGTCTCATGTCTTTGAGAATACTTTTATTCCCATTATTCTCAGTTTTTCAACCTTCCAGCTGAAGGAGGGTGGTGGGTTTGGTTCTCTATCAGTGACTCTATCAGTGGCTGCCGTCTGCATTGCAGGGTCAGACATGTGCCGCTGATCTTCTAGCTGGGCTATTATGCAGAGAGGACAGAAACGACCGCGGCGCAGCATATGAGCCTCGGTTGGAAGGATCGGGGAGTGTGACCGTGTGCATATGGGCCTACTGGGTGGGCTGTAAAGCACATTATGATGATCAGTCAGTTGACCCTCATGTCAGCATGAATCCTATGCATATAAACAGACACAGAGCCGTGCTACACTTCACTCTTTAAACTAAGCTAGAGTTAGGGTCGTTCTCCTGCCAGAAGGGAAATCTCCTCCTGAGTGTGAGGCCGCACAATCTGATTCCCTGCAGGAAGGCTGTCCCTCCATCTTCCCATCTGCACCGACTACTTTGATCTCCCAGGACTACCGCTGCACTATACTACCACCACCATGTTCAAAAGTGGCATATATATTCTATATATGTATATATTAGTTGTTGTTAATGTTCTACATGTTTCAAGCCTGGTTCCTCTATCAAAATGTTCCTTAATGATCTCTAACAGACATTTTAGGCCGTCACAATCCAGCTGGATTTATAGTGGGGTTCAGCTACACTGGCGGACTCTCAAAAACTTATATCTACAAGGTTGCACTTGATCATGATTAGGGGGTATCAAGTCAAAGTTTCTATAGCAGAAATGTGCATTCTTTTTTTTTTGTTAATAGATTATGAAATTCTTAGTTGGTCTGTCACATAAAATCCCAGTAAAGTAGGTTACAAAAGCCTTTTATCCCTAAAGGTAGTCGATGGGCTTTAATCTTAAATTGTGACAGCGGAGAGAAAGAGGAAGCATTCAGAGTATCATTGTACCTTCATGTATTATTAAATCCCGACTGGAACAAAAAGGAAGATCCTGCTATTCTTAAGCTTTTTAGTTAAATATTCACGGCTTTGTCACCGATCCCAAGTTGCGGGGATCTTACATCACCCTACAAACCAATTTATATTCTTATCGAACTTTTTTTTTCTGATAAGAAAGTCAACACAGTTTGACCCGGCAGACAATGCCTACAGCTCTGGTGTAATGGGAATAATGACGGAGCGTTGGAGTGTGAGGTTGTGCCCCCTTACTCAGCTGCAGCGTTTGCTTCAGGCTCCCAAATACCGTTTTATCCCCTCTGGCTCATGAAGGAAAAACATTTGCTTTTGGACTCTCAGCTCTCTTGTCTCCTCTCCGGCACTTCAGTGTGCATCCTTGAAGGTTTATGTATTTGGCTGTTGCAGATGCTTAGCACAATGAATTATATGCTTGCTTGGGCTCACCCGGGACTCACCGATGTGATGTTAAGTGGCGTAATTAAGATATTTTGCTGTGTCTCATGGGGTGGTGGCGGTGTCAGGGGCTCAGGGTTTAAAAGATTTATACCAACGTGCTCCAGTGTGGCTCATTACACCCGGAGCTAAGACTCCACCATGTTTCAGGTTTGTAGTTTGTGTGCATGCTCGCAGTAGCAGGCAGAAGAACACGGGGACATAACCTTTGCTACATATGCAAATCATACCCAACCTCCAACTGGATGACTCATCTGATGCCTCTCGGATTCACACCTCTGGTTCCTTTTTTTTTCTTTTCTGTTTTTCTCTCTCGTTCAGATCTGCACCCACCCTCCCTGTTACTGTCCCTCCATGATGATTATTTTATCCTGATTCAATGCTTCTCACATCTCCTGACATCATGCAAAAGAGATTACAAGTTCCCTTTTGCGCTGCGTGACTGTTTGCAGAACGAATGCAAGATGTGAAACGGTCTGCGTGATTTGATTAATGGGAAAAGGAGCAGCGCGCCGTAAAGGGCCAGTATATGTTTGAAAGGGAAATCGGCCCCTGGAGGCAGCTGTGCATGCAGGCATCAATTTAAACCACGGCCAAAGTCGTACAAAAGCCCTTCTCTGCATTCTAGATTGGCCGTTTGTTTGCCTGCAAGCCCCAGTTCAGGCCTTAGCTTTGAATCGTAGAGAAGAACTTCGGTCTCTAAACACCTGTATGCCTACAAAATAACATTACGGCCCCTTCTAACGCCAGACCCTGCAGCCTGTTCTGAAACACTTCTTACTTATTAACAAATGAGCTGCTGTAATTTCACGGTTCTGTTTAACATGAGAAGAACAGAATTTGATTTAATTCTGATCTTTTTCATGGTCATTGTACCATGAAACATCAGAATAATGGTTCAAGAGGGTCAAAGAAGCAAAGCATCAATATAAATTAGTGGTAAATTTGCAGAACCTCTTGATTTATTGTTTTCTTTTGCAGGATAAATTGTAGACACTGTAGATGTTGCAGAATATAATCTTTCATTGGGTTTTAGTTGATGCTAATAGGGTTATGATTAATTTAGTTAATAATTGTTAATGTTTATAGTGTAACCTACATGGTTTTCCAGTGTTTGGCATAAATAGTTTTCACAAAATCTAAGTTTAAAATAGCCTGTTTGCTTTAATGATGCAATTTTTATAATAAAAAATAATGTTTTTATGTCACTATGAAAACCCAGCCAAGTATTTCATGCTACTATTCACTCTTTCTTGGCGACTATTTTTTCCTTTCCACTTACCAGCCAGAGGCCTCCTATGCAGGCAGTTTAGAGAACCAATCTAAAACTCAAAATTAACTTTTCTCGACTTTAAACACGCAGCACCACGTACAAATTCCTTTTTTAAAGCTAAAATATTGAATTGGTGTTCAAGCAATCATGTAGATTAGAAATGAAACTGTTAAAGTCGAACATGTATGCATGTGAATCCTGCT